TAAGGGGTTCATGAATGAAGAGTCTACATTGTGATAGATGCTCAGAGTGGGATTTCTTCAACTCTTTTGCAGACTTGCCGTGACAATGCCTCAAACTATGGCTGCCCAGCCATTTGGTTCAAGTCCGTCGCCCGCGGGTTTCCTGTTTGAGGTGCCTGCTTGTGGGAGGGAGGGAGGGAGGGAGGGAGTGAACTTCTGTCAGTTTTGTGTCTTTTCTTTGTTCTGTTGAACCGACACGTTGTGGATCAGTAATTAGGTGAAATCCGGGGTGACCGGGTCAAACACCATGATGTAGATTTCACCGGACCGCCGGTTTGGTGCGATGTCACACTAATATCTCAACATCTCTTGACATTTAGACATTCGGAGACGATGAACATCTGACAATAGCTGACATATCAACATCTGACATTCTTCTTTTCCAAACCTTTCATTGATTACAATTCTAAACGGTTCTAAAACATTCAAAGAACACGATGCAACGATGCCCCTTTTGAATTGGGACAGCCTGCGGCAGCCACTCGTTTGTCTCGTCACCACGGGTTCCAGCCGGTGATTCGGCTCTGGGTGATGTTCCCAAGTGTTCGAGCTATGCCCAGGGCTTGGGCAGTCAATGGCTTGGTTCATTGAAGCTGGACAGAGGGGGGACTTACGCAATGATTTACCAATAATCCTCTGTTTGGAAAGACCTGATTATACCATATTTACCTGTGGTTTAAGGATGTTTAAGGGACCTCCATGGGCGAACAACCTTTGACGGCCTGAACAACCTTTGACGGCCTGATGGGAATCTAAGATGCACTTGCCAGGCTGGCCCCACTTGCGATGACTCGTGGTGCACTTAGATCAAGCTGACAGAAGGCCAGTCCAGAGCCTCAAGTTGTTCCCTTTGGATGTGAAGAACCTATGAATTCACATGGAACGGGTTTGATGGGATGTGATGTGATGTGATTGAATCATGCCACTGCGGGGTCTCCAAACGCCTCGATGGCGGACGAACTCAGGTTCCAGCCTCGTGCCACTTGCTCTGGGAGTCATGGCCATTGTTTCTCGGCTGGGACCAGTGCGTCAGAGCTACCAGATCGACGGTGGTGGGTTTGCATGGTTTTGTGGAGGACCCAGGCTCCTTTCGGGCGCAGGTGTCTATTTTGTTGGTAATTCTGCCACTAGCTAATATAGGTGGGGCCATGAATTCCTTTGGGCAGCGCAAGCACAGCTTGGAGAAAGCATGTTGACAAGTTGAGTCGGACGTGCGGTGTACGGAAATGGACTCTAGCAAGCAAGGCCCAAGGCCGAGGAAGGACATTCAACAGCCAGCAAAGTTGACAGAGTCAGCAACAGAGTCAGCAACGAGGGCATGTAACATGCAGACACCAGACACCGGTCAGACCTTCCCACGAGTCCCCCGGCAAAGAACCGTTCCCTGCACAAGGTTCCGAAATCGATCCCTAACAGGGTCTGTTTTGCAAGGTGGTCCTAAACAGTCGACTCCACGTTTGGGATCGATTGTGTCGTTTCCAAACGAACAGAGCCAGTGGGCCGGCGTGGGAACTGGCCTTCCCATGTGGAGGGACCCCTATGGCCCTATAGGACCCTCCTGCGACTCCTGCGAGGCTTTGGCATCCACGAGCTTTGTGACGTTGCAAGTTGGCAGACCCGAGCAACTGAAGGCCACGGCTTGAACAGCCGACCAACACGCCACCGCAACAAGAGAACAGCAGTACGACCACCGTTTTGAATGTGGATTGTTAGCCGTTCTGTGAGGATTGAGAGAGGCCGTCCAGTCTCACCATGAGTCCCTGCTCATGTCCCACCAGCTTGCAACGGATGACACCTCGCACCGTTCGAAAATGGAGGACGTGCGATCTGCTCGTGGCAAAGCTGAAGCCTCAGAAGTTGGCAGGACAGTTTTTTTAAAGGAAAACACCTTTTTATTGGGTTTGTTCCAGCAATATCCAGCAATTAGCCGTTGCGAGAGTCAGGCCCAGAGGCTAAACTGGGTGGTGGTTTCAAACATTTTTATGTTGAACTTTTGCTGGGAGATGATTGATCTCACAAACTATATAACGTTTCTGACAAGCTGAAACCACGAACAAGCTAACCATCAAACATTGTTTGTGGCAATGGGCCTACCCAAGCTAGCCAGAGCTGGCTGGGCAAGACCGTTGTTGGAATGCAGAAACCTATTCCTGCTCAGAAAACCATGGAGTTGGCTTTGAGCAGTTTTGCCTGCTTTGCCAATTTGGCCATGTGGAGTGCTTTCTGGCCAGGCGCAACCTTCTGGTGCAGGTGTCAGCCAAGCCATGCCACTTGCAGCTTCCTCAAGCTTCGGACACGTGGGCGATGTGGATCCCCTCTCACAATTTCGGGGATGCGCATTGGGCCCATTAGGCCCATGAGGCACTCACATCTTGACGTTCTTTCCCGGTCACTCGAGGGGGGACACATATGGGCGAATCCCAGACCCATCTTGGTCCGATTCGCACGACCTGCGCTGGAACTCCTGAGGCACTGGTCATGGGTGCCGCGGCACTGGGCGTGCGGAGCTTGGACCCGCGGCGCACCGCTGCGCGGAGACGCTCCTCGGAGGGTCGAAGAGACCGGCGTTGCACCGGTTTTGGGATGGATTCGTTTGAGCAACGACACGTGCCACGAATCCTCCGCGCGTCGACTGAAGGCTGGATTGAGCAGAGCTGGCCGAAAAGCCGGGCTCCCCATCGGGTGCCATCCGCGCGCGGAAGCGCCACGGAACACGGAGCTTTTAGAGCTGTCACTGGGCTGAGGTGGGCCAGACCAAAGCTTCTGCAGTGGTTTGCCATGCCGAATCCAAGGCCACCGTGGTCATCAATGAATCGGTTTTGGACGGTTCTTTGTCACTTCGAGCTTCAATGAAGCCGCGTTGACAGACCATTACAGGATCATTAATGTATATTAGAAAACGTCTATAGAATCTAGAAATTCACGAGTCGCTGTTCTCAGCAGCTGAGAAATTCTGCCTCAGCCTCGCAGCCTCACGTGAACATCGGCACCATTGGCCACGTCGACCACGGCAAGACCACTCTGTCTGCTGCCATCTCTTTGGTCTGCGGCCAGTCCGGCCGCCCGGGCGACACTGCAGCACGTGCACAGACCCTGGTGAGTGAGTCCTGGGAAGAACATAGAGAACATAGATGACCATAGACGTGTCAATCCATTGGGTCAGAGACAGAGAGGTCTCCGTATCCCACTGCACCCATTGGGTGCCCCCCGACTGTTCCACCATCCAGGTTTAGCACCTCTGGCGACACCAAGCAGAAGTCTTATGAGGCCCCCGACGCAAGTCTCTGTTGCATGGCGCGTGCGAACGGAGTGTCAAGTACTAAGTGAGATTGCAACTACAATGCTACAAAGAACCAGCGGTCGCTCCTGAGCCGCATGCTGCGCTGCGCTGCATGGCGAAAAGAAAAAGCGGGGTGCTCGATGCGGGCATAGTACGAGGTCACCGATTCGTTGCAGGTCACGTGGTCGGAGGTTCACCTCGCCGGGTTCCGGTGTCGTGCAGTTCACTGCAGGAGATTGACAACGCCCCAGAGGAGCGGTCGCGTGGTATCACCATCAACGCCTCCCACATTGAGTACGAGACGGAGAACAGGCGAGGTTAGTTACTGCAACTAATTACTGTATACTTTAATTGTATATATATATATATGTGAATGTATAGGTCTGTCATTGGGTATGTCTCCGATGCATAGGAATGGCCTGGGTGATGTGCTGCTGGGTGATGTGCGTAAAAGAAGCCGTAAGAAGCCTTGAGCCTTGATGAGGGTGACTCTAGGAAGTGGATGGAGTTTGGAATTGGATGGAATTTCCTGGGACGGTCGACTCCCAAAAAACAAAGTCGATGTCTACAAAGTCCATGTGGACGGGACACGCGAACATGCTCTGGGCCGAGGTCCAAGGATGTCTCTGTGAGATGGGATTGTTCTGGCCTTCTTTCGCATTAGTTTTCTGTCTTTTAGATCTTTAGTGGTATTTTGTGGTTGGGGCCTTCGGGGTGGGTCACTCTTTGGGTCGTTGAAGCGACTTAGTCGTTGGCGAGTGTCTCGCAGACGAGTTGGGAGGCACTACTGCCATGTGGACTGCCCTGGACACGCGGACTACGTCAAGAACATGATCACAGGAGACTCGAATTCCGTTCTTTTTTCCGGACATGTTTCTGGCAGACTCGGTGTGCTGTTCAGACTTGGTGGAACCACATCATGCACCAATCAAGGCTTAATGGTACGCACAGTGGTGCGCACGGACGGAGGAGCATGCCAGATGGATGGAGGCATTCTCGTGATTAGTTCCCCCGATGGACCGATGGCGCAGACCCGTGAGCACATTCTCCTCTCGAAGCAGGCGCTGTACGATGAGCAAGTTGATGAAACAAACAAATGTGGATGTACTGTACAGATAAAGTATATGCATAGCCTGAAAGGCATGAAGGAGACATGGGTCGCTGACATCATTAGTGTCGTAGGAAAGATTGAAGCAAAAGAAGAAGTGAGGTTGTCCCACACTTGAGCAGTGATCCATTGCGCCATAAGTACTTGTAGGCATCAAATGCATCTTCTAATGTACAAAAACTCGAAAGCCAAGAGGCATCAGCCTGTGAATACTATTTGCGCTGAACCACGATGATAGGGCCGCCCATGGCCGACCCACAATCATACTTTGTGGCTCACTGTCTCAATGCAAGAATATCATGCAGGTGGGTGTGCCCAAGCTGGTTTGCTTCATGAACAAGGCCAGTTAGTTCAGAGTTGAGGTTTGACCTGGGTGCAGGAGTGATGTGGCTTTGAGAAGTGGCTTTAGTATGCTTTAATGAGATGCCATGGTGATGTCACGACCGAAGCTGTCGACACTGTCAACTGTTCGTCTCTCTGCCTCTCTCCCTGCCTTTCATGATCCAGCCCACGTTGCGCTGATCAAGTGGCGGAACGCGCGCGGGGCCTCGTCGGCCAGGTGGACATGATGGACGATGAGGAGCTGCTTGAGCTGGTGGAGCTCGAGACCCGCGAAATGTTCGGGATCTTAGACTAGCTGAGAAAAGGAGGATCCGGGACAGAAGCACTTCTGGGGGTTTCTGGAGGTGTTTGGGACTGTGGAGGGTATTTAATAGCCGCGCACTTTCCTTGGGTGAAAAAGCCGGAGCTCGCCTCGTCCAGGGAACGGTTCTTTCGCTTCAACACGAGTGGGGCGTAGGGAGGTGAGCTCGCTCGCTCGCTCTCTGCCGGTTCAGGGTCGGTCGATGCCGTGAAGTTCCGACGGACCGAGAACGGACGGATCAGCAAAAGGGTTTGCTTTGGATCCCAGCAGTTAGTGTTGAGTCAGCCACCCTCTCCATGGAAGAATAGAGGAGAATGCCAATATCATTGCGATTCTATAATTCTCTAGGTTTGTAATACTTTATATATGTTGCATGGTTTTGCTGTTTCATCGAGACAACCGGACACTTCGGCAAAAGGCAGGAGGTAACGGCATGTAACGGCATCTTTTTTGGAGGACAACTCATGCAGAATGTGTGACACCACAACCTGAAACCACAAATTGGATCAAATTGGGCCTTGTGGCCTTCCGGGATGCTTAGGGGATGACACCAATGTATTTCGTTTCTCAGCACCCCAAAGACAAATATATTGTATCAATAATTATTAAAGACAAACGGATACGTTTTTTCCTCAGCACCATCGATTGCTTGATGCCCAAGCAGAGGGCTATGGAGCGAATCGAGTACCTGAGGTTGAGCCAGTATGGATTCCCTGGCGATGACACGCCATTCGTTCAAGGACTGAGACAAGATGACCGATGTCTGGAAGACGAGATGTCTTGCTTTCCGGAACTGTTCAGGGATTGTTTCATTGTGTGCAGGATCTGCTTTGCAGGCGCTGGAAGCCATGAAGAGCAACCCCGGAACCAAGAAAGGCACTCTGCAGAAATCTAAGCATTCCTTCCTGTGCATGCCATGTAATGTATTTCAGTGCTGCTGAAATACTTGGTCCTGTCTCGTACTGCAGGTGATGACAAGTGGGTGGACAAGATCTTGGAGCTGATGGAGACTGTGGATGACTACATCCCAACGCCAGAGCGTGACACTGACAAGCCCTTCCTCTTGGCCGTGGAGGATGTGTTCTCCATCTCTGGTCGAGGAACTGTGTGCACTGGCCGAGTTGAGCAGGGTATCGTGAAGAAGGGCGATGAGGTGGAGATTTTGGGCCGCGGCAAGAAGCCTCAGAAGTCCGTGATCACAGGCATTCGAATGTTCAACACCGACCTGCCTGAGGGCCCGGCTGGCTACACCGTCGGTGTGCTGTGCCGTGGTATTGAGAAGGATGCAGTCTTCCGAGGCCAGGTCATTTGCGCCCCAGGTGCCACCAAGACTCACACCAAGTTCAAGGCCAACATCTACTTTGCGAAGAAGGATGAGGGTGGCCGCAACAACCCTGTGATGCCAGGATACATGCCCGTCTTCTACTTCCGTACCTGCGATGTGACCGGCAAGATTGAAGCCATGACCAGCTCTGATGGCAACGAGGTGGCCATGGCCATGCCAGGTGACGATGTGACCTGCGAATGCGAGCTGATCGCATCGACGCCCATTGAGAAGGGCATGCGCTTCGCCATGCGTGAGGCTCACAGGGTCCGCAGTGCCGAATAGAGAAACATCAAGTCTGAAGTGACAACATCTTGCATGTTGCACAAATTAACGAAAGAGCCCACTCAGTAGGCTTAGATAGGCTTGGGTCTCATGGCGCGGGCCAAGCTCCTGGACGAATCCTGCATGTTCACCCTTCGCCAGGGTGGCAAGACCATTGGGCAGGGTCTGATCACTGAGACCGTCTAAAAGGCAGGGGCCCATATGAATCCATGATCCACTGATATATCATATCCATATATATATATATGTATAAAGCATATATATATATATGAATCCAATTGAATCCATATTAATATCATATATCCATGGTATCCATTGATATCCATATCCATGATTAATCCATATATCCACTGATATCCACTCCATCTCCAAGATAACCTCCATCTCAGCAGTGAGTTTAGAAGCGGCAGCCTTTCGCGGACCTCAGTTCCAGCTCTTGTCTATATAAAGCCGAAACACCATGTTTTCGTGTGCCTTTGGGGTTGAACAGGGCCACCGTTGAACACGGCCCGTTCGTAGGGCAGACGATGGAGCTGAACGACATGTCGAGGCGGAGGATTGATTCAAGCTATAGGAAGCAAGCTGATTCACCTTAAAAAGAGCAAGTATAGAATGTTGGTTGAAATGAAGCACACCAACTCTCCATAATGTTTAACCGCAACTATATAAACCTATCCAGTCTAGACCTCTGTGTTGCGGCGCTCAATTCCACACATTCCACGTGGAGGTGAAGGACAGTGTAGAGCTGTCATGAACGAATCAGCCACAGCCAAAGTGCCTTTGCTGGTCTGGAGACCGCGTTTTCCAGCCCACATCAGCTTGAGGTGGAGGATCTTTGCAGAGAAATCTGTGCAACATCATTTACTGGCAACTGAACTCTGTGAATGTCAGTGACAAGGGATGACTTGTCTTCTGCAAGGAGCAGCACCTTGAACTGGAATTTTCTGGCTGGGCTCCACATGATGCAGACAAAAGGAGCTGACCATGAGAGAGGATGAGATCCCCTTTCTGGATGAACATGGTTTCGTCGGTCGCCCCGCCGGAACGCCTTCCACGCGAGCCAGAAGCGAGGTGCGACCAGCCACGCGTGCATCGAGCATCTTCAGGTGCGGGAGGGTGCCTTCACGACGGTGACAACTGTTTGTAGTTGCTTCTTGCTCCTAGCAAGGCCAGGAGCTACGTTCGTAGCGATGCCAGGAGCCCCGAACGTAGCGTTCTTGTTCCTGTTTGTTTTTCTTTCTATGGAAGCAAAGACCTACGGACTACATACTACAGATACCCCCAATCACTGGTCCACTCCTTGCTGAGGAAGAGTTCTGCAGTTCAGTTCAGCGTCACACGTTCGAGAAAAAGTTATGCCCGCGGGTGCTACGAAACACTAAACGATTGTGTGTGTGTTGGTGCCCACTTAAGCCCATGATGGCAACGATGCCTATGGGCTACTGATGGCTACCGTACAGCCTCGTTTTTGTCAGCCTCGGCCCCTGTTTGTCAATGTAGGTGGTTAGGAATCAGTTCCCAGGGTCGCATGCGTCGCATGCCTGCAGTTTGTAAGAGCTGGTTACGGGCTGAAGCGTTTTTGGATCGTAGCAACCACAAGCCAATTCGAGGCCAGCCCCTGGCGCAGCGCTCTTCGGAAGGCAGACCAAGACATCAATGCACGTGTAATTGTTTGTGCTACTTTTGACCTTTCCTGTGCAGAACTGCTGGTAACTTTTTACTGTAAATTGAATTTGAAGTTACTTTTCGATTTCCGCACACCTTGAAACTGAGACCGCAGTTGCTAGGATGAGTTTCATCTGTGTGTTTTTGGGCATCCACATGTCAGGTGAAATTCAGGTTGCATTTGAACCGTATAAAGCTTATGTAGCTGTTCTTCTGCTAGATTTTGTCGGCTCAAGAGAGTCAACCATTCATTGTAGCTGCAAAGAGGTCATTCTGCCAATGCCCCGTCAGAGCAGCCGAACTTCAAGCAGCGCACCTCAGCGTGCCGCCCCAGCGCCATCACATGGCAGAGCAGCACCAGCTCCGGCTGCAGCTCCAGCCCAACAAGCTCCTCCACCAGCTGCAGCACCAGCCGCAGCACCGCCGGCAGTTGCTCCTTCTTCCGGTGGTATGTTCTCTGGGCTGATGGGTTCTATGATGTCCGGCGTGGCTACCGGAACCGGTATGGCGGTTGCCAATCGCGCTGTGGATGCTGTCATGGGCCCGCGCCAGACTGAGGTTGTTCACCGCCATGAGGGTGCTCCAGCCCCTGCTGCTTCGAGCCAGCCTGCTTGCCAATTTCAGCAAGACCAGCTGACCCAATGCATGAAGTCTTCCAGCGATGCTTCCTCATGCCAGTCATTCATGGATGCGCTGAAGGCTTGCCAGCAGGGCCAGTGAGCCAGCGGCTGACAAAAGACTTTACATTGCACAGGCTGATGTTGCAGAGAAAAGCGGGCACTAGCTGCTAAGTACTGGTCTCATTTGGAATTAAATATGTTTCTTGCAACCGCTACTTCCCATGATATCAAACAAGTTAATCTTTCCCTTCCAGGTGCAAGGTGCATCCAAGCCTCGAAATACTTTCTTGACTAGCATGTGACCAGGACTTCGTCGCCGCCCCGACTTATCCAACCACCCTGACTGTTCCGGACATGTTTCCGCCGCAATCTTCACGCCTTGCCCGGCTGCCAGGCCTTTGGTTTCGCTTCCAGTGGGTTGAGCGCGTTAAGAGACAAAGAGACAACGTGTGGTTTGAGCGCCAAAAGCACGAGTTCCTGCGATCTGAATGTTTTTCGGTTTTTCGCAGCACTGATTCTGACTGCCCCAATCGGACACTGGGAGATTGCTCCGGCGATCACACATCTACTGCGATCGTGAATCTACGAATCGAAGGGCACGAGGAATAGCCTCGTGGTGCCATGGATCGCTTCATACTTTCCGGTCACACCTGTCAAACACGCTCTTGGATCCTTTGGGGTGCCGATGACATTTGGGCCGCCAGCAAACCTCCGCTTAGCGAACTCCCACGCTGTATGTCCATGCGATAGAAAGTGCAAAAGAGTAGTGCCATGAGCGTCTTAGCTCAGCATCCCAGCAAATCATTTTAACTTTTAACACATCTATGTAAGGTGAGACAGGACGTGACAGGACCATCTCAACTGCGAACTCGCAGCAACCCATCCGGCCCGGCGTTCGATGAGCTGAATGTGGCTTGGACGGTCGAGTGATGTCCAGGAGTTGTGGGGGCACCGAAGCAAAAAGGGCGAAATTCCCTTGGAATCACAATCAATAACGGAAGTGCCCTAAGAATCCTTCGGCTCTCTGGAGTGAAAGCCACCTGTTTGGTCTTCGGATTGAACATGGTCATCCACCGGGGCCATGGCCATCTTCTCTCTTCTTTCCATGATGATTCGGAGTGGATCGAATGGATCGAACTGCCGTGGCTTCAGGTTGTACGTCCTCAGAAAGAACTCAAACCAGTACTTTAATATACATTATAACTTACAATTGCTCACTCTTGCTGCTTCTTCAACGAATCGTTCTGGCTCGCGAATCGTGTGCTGCGGGAGAGGTCGCTTTCCGTGCTTTCCCCAGGTGCAGGAGCGATGCCATGCGCGCGAAAGGCTACAAAAGGCGGACAGTGCAAGCCTGGGTGCTTGCCATGAAGAAGAGTGAAGAAGTTATGGGAATTGATAGGGTAATTTTGGTGGAATACGGCCATTTCTGAATTCTGGTGGCTGGATTCAATTATATATATATAGATATTACGAAAGGCAGCCGATAGGCTAGGCTTGAGCTTTCAGGGCGAACGAAGTGAGTTAAGGGGTTGTGGGGGGGGGAGTGGTCGCTGAGGAGGACCTTTTGATAGGGTGAACCCAGAGATTGGTGCAAACAGGTGAGGAGTTTCCGAAAACCAACGCCAGGTTCCTTTGGCCTTGCCTGGTCAGCTACATTCTTTTGCCGGCTGCAGCCTGAGTCCTATCAGATCTCATCGGTGTACCTACCCCAATTTCAGCATCATCTTGGACTGCATCGATCAGCGAAGTGTTTCTTGTATATCAACTGCTGCTTGAGGAACTGTGTTGGCTGACTCTGTGGCCTTGACCACCTTTAGACATTCTATTCCGAGATCGTTGACCTCTCACCACTTTTTGGCCAGTCCTGACTGGCCATGACCACCTGAACCATCATGGACGCACAACCTGAGCCATCACAAACTGCAACGAGATTCCGTACTGGAATCCGCAAAGCTCTCCAAGAACTGGTGAAAAGGAAACCGAGTTGACTATTCAGACTATTCATGCTTGGATTAACAGGTGAACCTGCTCAACAGCAAGATTCCTCCTTTTCCATGCCGTGCAGTTGCTGCAACAGCCAACTTGATAATCCACTTTTCTATGCATTTTTTCATGTTTTTTCCTAGTCAAAAGAGGGTCATGTTTTTTTAAAGGGACACATCTATATTATTTGTTTAAATATACTTCAAGTTTAGCCTGCTCAAGTCATAATGTCACCTGGATTATACTCTACAAATACTGATACATACTGAGTGTTTGATGCATCGAACACGCCGCGTCGTGCAGGTGGTGCAGGCCAAAAGCTCCGCATGGCTCTCACCAAACCTCCTTCCCGAGTCCTTGCCGTCAGCGGCTTTGGATCAGGCGTGGACACGGGCGGGTGTTCGATGCTTGTAGGTGGACGTCTGTGCTGTGTGGCTTTTCAAAGAGACAGGACGAAGCATCGATTTTGAAAGCAGGAAGCTTTTTTTCAAGCACTTACTCCAGCCCAAAGCGGTGACCGGTGAGGCTCAGTTCGGCCTTCTGAACGCCAAGGCATGCCGGTGTCCGAACCGGGTGGGACCGGCTTTCGGCTTCTGGGTTCAAAGACAGGACCGTCACAACTCGTGGGTTGTTACCATAATTGACGGTCACAAGGTTCATACTCGTTTGACACAAAACCAATGGGAGAATCCCAAGGTCTTTGCATACTTTTCACTGACCTTCCCACCAACAAACCGTGCATCTGCCTATATCTTTAGCAAGTCCGCCGGTTTACACTCAGAAGAGTTTCAAAGCATCATCCTCAAACAGTTTTGAATCATGATGACTTGGCATGGATGTTGATCCCACACACCTTATATAGATTTAGAGTGGGACCAGGCTAACTCAGTTGCATGATGTTGCATGCTCCAAAAAGCAGATCAAGAATCAAAAAGAGATGGATCTTACCTGTCTCATTCCCTAATCTACGAACCAAAAGGGACACGAAACGAACGTTTCTTCCGCACCGGTCCTTCCCACCGGTCCTTCCTGCCGAGGCGGACTTCGCCCTGGGGACAGCGAGCTCCCTCCGGGGATCCCAGGCTGAGGGGATGTGTGGCGTGGAACGGAGGATAGGCGACTGGATTTGAACGAATGACATGACGTGACGTGACATGAAACGAATGATGACAACGATGTGTTGAAGATGGTTGAATTCTTTTGAAGCCTTTGCTATTTGAGTACTGTTTTGCAGTCGGCAGGCTTCAAGCCTCCTATCCCAAGAGATTGGCGCAGATGCAGATGTGCAGGATGAGATTGCGGAATTCTTGTTTTCCAGCAGGTTGGTGTTGTCACAGGCATGTGAAGTGAAAGTGCTGGATTAGGTATGTGAATTTGTTTCACAAGACCCCACCAGCAATTCAATCATGAGATGGGATACGAAGTATATCAGCTCAGGCACTTTTGATGGACAAACTCCCGCACTGTGCAACACCCCACCTAGTTTGGGGGGCAGCCTGCAATGAAGATTGAAACGATCATGTTAGGATCTTCCAATGATTACCCTAACAAGAATGGGGTCATGATCTGGTGCATTGGAAGATCCAAGCCACCGGTGCAATTGGGGCATGGGCCAAGTCGTCGTTGGGTGATGGAGGTGAATGGACCGCGACCCCAACATCCATCTTATCAAGTCAGAAGAAGATAGATTAAGTATTTATAAGACCATTTCGAAGTCCAGTTCGACTATATTTGACCGACTGAAGTTCTGAAGTAAAAGAACTTCCTTTTCAGGTCACCTAAAGACCATTCTTTTTATAGTCTTTGACTCCCAGGGTAAGAACAAGTACAACAGAATCCCTCCTACCAGGATCATCCTGTCTGGGTGTCCAATAGTCGACCCTGCCCCACTTACAGGTCTCCATTGCCCCCGGACAGGAAGTGCTAGGTAAGTGATCGTCGTTTGGATCCTTTGGAGACCACGAGACACTCGCCCTTTTGGACCCCAGAAACCGGAGGAGATGAGACCAGACCGGCACGGGCTCGCGATGAGCTTGCGACATCAGGCGGGGGGAGGAGACCCAGCATCCAGCGGTTTCAGCATGTTTCAGCCTTCAGGCCAAGGTGTCCAGTCTGGCCAAGGTGTTCAGTCCTCAACATGAAAGGCTTTCTGAAAGGCTTTATGTTGCTTTCGTCATTCCTTTCCACTCACCAGTGGTCAAACCTTTCAACATCGTCATGGCCTGGCCACGCTGCTTCGTCCGAAGCGCTTTCCTCGGCGGCTTCGTTGACCGCAGCGACTCGTTGGTCTCGGTTTGCCACGGTGAACACGGTGACCTCCCATGCTGGACTCGTCGTCGTGTCCCATGCAGCTTCGTTGGGATCCTCACCGGACAGGACAATTCACGGACGGGAGATGTTCAGTATGAAGTCAATGCCCGGTCTGACCGGGTTTTTGGTTGGGATGGGAAATGGGGACGATCCGGCTTTGGACCCCTTTTTCAAAGGTGGACCAGCCGGACCAGACCAGTCCGACCTGACCGAACGGGTTTTTCCGAGAGATGTCCCACGCTTTGCGACATGTCCACTCACTGAATTGGGTGTTTCTTGCTCTTGGTTGGATGGACACAGTCTGTGTCCATGAAGTCCTCACGAAGGCACGGAGTTCTGAAGATTAAGAAAAACAATCATGGACCCACATGGACTCCTTTGCTCCTAGTAGCGTCCAGGAGCCCCCAGGAGCCCCGAACGTAGCTTCTTGCTCCGTTCGTAGCGATGCCCTTTGCTCCTGTATTCTTATGCAGTATTCTTAACAATCAAACCCACAGACTTGCTCTTGGAAAGTCACAGCATAGCTCGCGAGGCCCAGCTGGAGCTGGCCCAGGCATGCATGGTCGGTTCGAGGTGGTTGGTCCAAAGAAAGGACCAAGAAGGAAGACCCCACTTCAAAGCGGTCTTAGAAACGATTTTCAATGCGGTTTTGATCTGCTTTTTGAAGGGGTTCTTGGTGATGAATTCCGTCGTTATCTATCATATTTTAGGACCGCCGCCAGACCGAACATCACATAAGGGAGCGCCGAACACTGTTAGCTTTGCTTGTGCTCGAGGCAAAAGTCGCATCTGAGTGGACGTCGGGCTTTCCAATCTCTTTATAGAGATTGGCAAAATTACGGATTGGCAAACTCCTTTTGTATTTTTTAAGATGTTTTAACTTGAATCCTTTAGTTTGTTTGGCAAAAGTCAGTTCATGTCAGAAGTGGACGTTGGCTACCACTAAGATCTTGTTTAGAGAGGTTCTTTTCGTCCGCTGCATGGCTCCAAGTGATTCGTCCGATTCTTCGCTTCAGCCGCTCCTGAAACAGGCCACCGCAGACGAAGCGGCCGCCGAAGCGGTCGCGGCCGACGAGCCACTCGGAGCGGAGCGGAGCTTCGGTGGTCACCGTGGTGTCGGTTGGCTTTCCGGTCGAAAGCACAATGGATTCACTGAGGCTTGCTCCAGGGCATGAAATGAATCATGAAGTTCATCAAGTTTTTCATGACAACAGCAGTGACAAGACCGGATGATGGTCACCATGTGCATGACATCCTATCTGAAACTCCAGTCCCTTCGGAATCCGGCGCCCGGATTCCGCGGCATCCTTGGCGGGCGCGTTTGATTGCAGCCATGGTGGAGGCCGGTGAGTCGGCTGGATACATTTTGGATCCTGAACGGATTCCCGCCGAATTGGAGCCCTTCAAGGATCGGCTCAGTGAGAACTTTTTTGAAGTCTGAAGCTGAGCTCGGCTCGCGTGAACTGACCGAGAGCCTTTTTTTTTCCGTATCCTTGCGTAGTTGAGAGTATAATATGGTAGATTAGATCAAAAGGTCGACGTAGGGCCTAGGTGCATTGAGAGCCTTCCTGTTGTTCGTGAAGGGTTTTTCGTTCGAGTTCGCAAAAGTATTTCTTCCCGAAAGAACTGCAAATATTAAAATATGTTGTATCTTTTTAGAGTATAATTACTGTATACAAACAGAAGACTTCTGAGATACTGTATACCCCCTGCAAAAGTTAAACATAGAGTTTGCGGAAGATCTGGAAAAGTAAAGGTTTGTTCGCAAAGAATGGTGTTTTCGTAAGAATGAATTTAGATCAACCTCCAAATACAAAATATTTTTTATTATACAAACTTACGATATTCAATTTCAACCATGTTGGCCAATTGCTCTTGGAGTAGCTGGCCAACAGGGCAACCTTGGAGGCCAATCCAATCAATGAGAGTGTACCTGCATTGGAACTCACATCCACAGCCGCATACACACAGCTATGTAAGACGTCAAAACAAAGCCTTTATCACTTGTTGGCATGTCTACTATTTTACAACTCGTGACGCCCCCCAAAACTGCCTTGCCCATGCCGCATGCCCCGGCCAGCTGAAAAAGATGATAGCCCATGCCCATGCGGTAGGTCTTTTCAACGTATTCACACGAAGCCACCTAATGCAAACTCCTGGCGCAAACTTCATGAAGTGCCTTAAAACCCGTGCATCACCGGTCTGAACGACGATGCAGTACGGGAGTATGAAGCGATGATAAAGCACGGTGAGGGGGGGGGGCCTCCAGACAATATTGGGTTTAACGGGTTGGAGTGAGGTTTGGACCCTTGTTACTGGCATGTAATATAGTTTATATATATATATATTACGCAAAGGTTCATTGGACCCTCATAGCTAGGGTTTTGACCCTCACAACCAGGGTTTTGGACCTCCAACATGTAGCAGTTTTAGGGTCCTCTGGGTAGCATACAAAACAGATATTCCATGGCAGCTCCATCGGAGGTGGATTTGCAAGGCAACTCGATCATGAGCCATCATGAAGGAAATTGAGGCCACCAAACTCTACTGTAGTATTTGCACTCCCCGGGCTTCTGGAAGCTCAAGCATTAGACCACGACTGCCCCTCTAGGCTCGGCCATATGCCGTGCCGTCAACCGAGGTCCGAAAGCGCATTATCAATTTCATCAAAGAGGACATCATTCCTGCGATGCCCATTTGCTCTCGCCAGTACAAGGAGGAGATTGACAAAGTGAAAAGCCGCAAACCAGCTTCTCCACATGAGGATCCCGAGCATGCAACACATCCCGTCTGGGCTGCTTCTCCGCCCATCTTTGATGAACTGAGGCAGAAAGCCAAGGCAAGGGGGTTGTACAACTTTTTCTTACCTGAGGTGGGAAAGCTGAGCGTCTTGGAATATGCGCCGATTTGTGAGATACTTGGCGCTTTTGGACTGTGCAATGTTGCTATGAACTGCACAGCTCCCGACACTGGAAACATGGAAGTTTTGGAGAAGTTTGGTACCGAAGAGCAGAAGAGGCAATGGCTTGTGCCTTTGCTTGAAGGCAAAATCAGATCTGCCTATGCCATGACTGAACCAGGTGTTGCAAGCAGCGACGCAACCAACATTAGTGCAACAATCACACGGGATGGAGATGAGTACGTCATCAACGGTCATAAGTGGTACATCAGTGGTGCCTGTCGCCCTGAATGCAAAGTCTTTGTTTTCTTGGGACGATCAGGAACATCTGAGCAACGCCACAAGCAGCATTCGATGATTCTGGTTCCTCGAGACGCAAAGGGAGTTCATATCATTCGACCTTTAGCAGTCTTTGGTCACATCCACGATCATGCTGAGATCCTCTTCGAGAATGTCAGGGTTCCCGCCAGTCACATGCTGCTTGGGGAGGGTCGTGGCTTTGAGATTGCCCAAGGTCGCTTGGGTCCTGGGCGCATTCACCATTGCATGCGCACCATCGGTACGGCAGAGCAAGCCTTGGATGCAATTTTGCATCGGGTGCATCAGCGCGTGGCCTTTGGCAAGTTGTTGGCTGACCAGGCCACGATCCGGCAGACGATTGCGGAGGCACGAATGGAGATCACGAAGAGTCGCTTGTTGTGCTACTTGGCGGCGGTCCAGGCGGATGATCATGGCTTCAAAGCGGCCAAGGGCTTCATCGCCATGACCAAAGTGGATGCTCCCAGGATTTGCCAAAAGATCCTAGATGAAGCGATCCAGATTCATGGGGCACATGGAGTGAGTCAAGACTCGCATTTGACGGATTTGTACCATCATGTGAGGCATGTGAGGCTGGCAGATGGGCCGGACATTGTTCACCTGAACACCATCGCCAAGGAGGAACTTAAGAGACGATCGTCTGTGATGGGGACGTCTGTCAGTGGTGTGAACAAGAATGTAGAGAAGTTTGGGAAATTTGCACACCTCCCGAAGCCCCGAGCCCGCCTCTAGATCAAGAAGGTGCAAGATTGAAGCTATGAATACGAAGACGGGGCGTCAAAGATGGTCAAAGCACCATAACAGTTGCAGCCATACCAAGATATCAAAAACAACGCTGGCGTGCTTTCCTCGGACTAAGAAGAGTCCATTGTGAAAAAGCGTCTACAGTAGGGATTGTTCCAACCGACCATGGCACCCTGGTTTGTGTATGTTTGCATTCTTGCTTCCTGGGTTGTAGGTGCTGCGTTCTTCATATCTGTAGGCTCTTGCCACTTCCTTTTCTGGTTCATTCTGGTTCTGTGCGCCACACAGCCACTGGGGTCCTCCGCCCTCCGAGGCTCCGCAAAGCGGACGAGGCAATGCTGCGCGCCAAGGCCTTGTCAAAGGCCCTGGCCAAGGGCGAGGCTGAAGAACTCATGGACATCCTCAAGGTGGGTGAATTCTCCGGGTGTGAAACACCCTACTGGCGGCACAGAAGCTGTTTTTTGGTGGAAGATGGTGGAATATGGATGGTCTTGTACAGTTGGAACATGATCTCAGTTAATTAGTTGGATTTAGCTTGAATCATATTGGCCACGCTGGGAGAGAACTTTGCGACTTCATGATATCACTAGGTCCTTGCCAGCATGTTTTCTCTCGTTGGGGCCGCAAATGACCCGCACGCGCCTTTCCACCTGCGTTCGCTGGCGCGTTCCCTGGCATGGACTGAAGGGAGGCGCACCCTCGAAAGCACGGGCCCTGGTCAGGCGCCCTTCTCACCGGTCCAAGACCTTGTGAGTGATTCCAAGGCCCTGGATATGCGCTGACCTTGTTCGGTCGCTTCAGCTAGTGAGTCGGGAGGAGCCCTGTTTTGGCCAAGCACAAAGAGCCACAAACTCGGGCTGACTTTTCATCAAGCAAGGATAGCTAAGGTTGGCTTGGTGGCTCATTCTAAAAATGTATGACAGAAGTGAAGGCCCACACGTGAACAACTGCATCTAAGGCCTGATACCAAGCAGAGTGTTTTGCATGCCATTCTCCAGCGAGAATCCCGTAGAATACTGTAGCTGCACATCGTCCCAACATGCCCGTGGCAAAGAGGGCAGCTTTCAGTCAATGCTCCTTTTGTGAAGGGGGCTAAGCATCTAATCAGCTAAGCATGCTGAGTATACCCATCACATCCCATCACTTCACTTCAGGCCTTTTCGTCCCGTTTCGACATTTGGAGACTCCCCAGGGCCATCCAGGGCCCAGGTCGTCTCACGGAGACCTGCGTCCACGAGGGTTCGAGACAGCACCGGGTGCACGAGGCCATTTTGTTGAGCACTGAGACTGCAGTTCTCGAAGCTCCCGAAGAGGCAGGGGACGAGCTTCCCGAAAAGACGCTGCGGACGCTCCGTCTCAGCTCCCCTTCAGACTCGCAAGGCGAACAAGTCCCCAAAAGACTCGGTTGATGTCGGACGGGACTCCAGTGCTACAGTTTCTTTGCACTCCGGTGTCGGACCCCACCGAACGGTTTGCCCCCGCCCGCCGCGAACGGACCAAGGCCGCCGGGAACAGCACGGAAGCAGCGGCCCGGAGCTGCGATCCCACGGTGGGCCTCTCCTGCCGAGCCCAGCGCGTGGGGAGCCCCAATTTGGGTGGTGGGGGGGGGGAAGGGAAGCGACCTGGACGACTGGCATGGAGCTAGGTGAAAAAAAAGGTGAACACATTGTGAAAACAAGTGAAAACATGTGAAAGCAGCAATCCCAGCATATCCCAGCAACATCCAGCTACCATGAGGCCACAGGACGCTTTGTCCATCTTTGTCCTGTTTGCAGTGCTTTTGTTTTGATTGATTTGGATATATTTTGAGAGAGATTTCAAAGGACGTGACAGTGCTCAGAGAAATATCCGCCGCGCTCACTTTTGGACCAAGTCTCTTATTTCATTTACGCCATTCGGTAGTTGTACTAGAAGCCGTCGTATACCAGCGATGGCAGGCTTGCTGAAGGCAGAGTTTCTTTACAAGTTGCCTGCAGTTGCCTTTGCAGCATTCCTGTTTCTTCTTGACCTCGCATCCAACACTTTCCAACACATGAATCAAATTGAATATATATACATATATATACACTGTATATAGAGTCCACTGTTTCAGAACGCCGAGCTGCCCGCAGCTCGCAGCTCGCAGCTCGGTTGACAGGCAATCCTTCTTTGGCTCGCCTTTCCTTATTGCTTGAGCTCCACTTTGCGAGGTCCCGTGAAGGCCAGAGAGGTCCATACTGGAGCCTTTTGACCGGCTGACGGGTCAGGTGAAAAAAAAGGGGGTTCCCACATGTTCCCATATGGGATATGGCTGCAAGGCCAAACCTCCCCCACCAAAACATGGGAGGTTGACATCCCTTAGGTCTACGGGCCCGGGTGCCCGGGTGCCACGAGGTTGACTGAAGGTGGCCCGTTGACCCACAGTCGGTTTTGGTGTTCAGATGGCACCAGACTGTTTCAATTCCATGGAATTCCTAGTGCTCCAACTGACTCACCAAGTGATGCACCAGAATAGGGTCACCAACCACCCGAACACCGCGCCACCAGCACGCGTTCCCACCATGCGTCGCAGACCCGAGCTTCCAAGTGCCTCCCCAGGCGGCGAACGCCACTCACGACCTGAGCACCGTGAAGACCGTGAAGACCCCGCCCACCGTGGCGACTGCGGCGGTAGCGCTGTGGAGCGCGGGTCCCGCGAAGAGTTTGACGCAGATGCTTCAGGACGGGTTGGGCTGAGAATTTGCAGAGAAGTTTTGCCGTGCCAGTTGAGTGGAGGGCTCAAACATATGGAGGGATGATGAGATACAGTACGTCTTACAATGTCTTAAATGTTTCAGAGCTTTGAGATGTCCAGCGATTGGTGGGTTCCGGCTCTTGGTGTAAGATCTCTTCGGATGTGCTCGCGCATGACTGGTTTCGGGACATTTGCATGAGACGGTGTGGAATCAACATTAACATGGATGGCAGGAGACTAATACATACTATGTAATACTACTTGTGTCTACTTGTAATATACTAATACTATAATACATTACTATATATACACATATACATATACACATATGTACATATATTTAATTAGATATGCAGAGAATGTCAAACATTATATACATATATATGTATATCTCAGAGAGGGAGAGTAATGTCAAACTGAAAAGCACGCACACACACACACACACACCCTAGTGTTGTCAAACATGTCAAACATCTCCACATTGGAGTTTTTTTGCATCATATTTTATCCACAGTTGACTTTAAGTCCAATGATCTTCCTGACAGATTCACTGAAGAGTTGCAACATCTCAGTGCAAGTTTCATGGTGAACAATACACTCCGACATGGTGCCTATGAAGCGCCATGGAGAGTGCCGGGACTGGGGAGTGGCTGAAACCACTGAGTCGACCGACCCGTTCGACCCGTGGCACCCAGCGGACCGGTTTCTTCGGTGCCCGACGCACGAGGAATCCTCACGTAGACGAAGCACAGGGAATCCTCATGGGCCCTGTTGGTTCCTTTTGTGCCAGGAACCACGAAGCGTCCAGCATCTCCGGATACAGTTGCCGTCCGCAGGCGGGTGAAGCGGAACGATCTGTGTTTGCGTCGGTGTGATGAGTAGAGGGCCTGGATGGGCCCCGGGGTCGGTCGAGCACGTGTACCAGACACTACGACATAACGATTCACTGAGCCAATTAGTCGCCACGAATTTCGATATCGATCAAGGTGGACACCCCCCTTTTTCCACCAGGTGGAGGGAAGACATGGGAAAACGATTTAGTCAAGGGTTCAGGCCGACTTCCATGTTTCTTTCCGGAGGTGAGGTTACTGGCCATTTGATCATCCTGGCGACGCTGATGACCGCGGCTGCGCTCACCTTCAGGTGTGGTTCCATCTTCCGCGACACGGAGTGATTCTCTCGGAGTGCCAGGTACATGGCGAAGTGGCCGGAGGTGGACGAGTCGATGATGCCCAAAGAGAAGCTGAGCTCCTGGTCTTCGGGGCCTTTCGATTGCTTCGAGGATATGAATATTTGTTGCTGGACATGTCACTCGCTTGCAAGTGCTTGCCCGAACATGTGCTCTAACCGTTAACCCCAAAAAACAACACAATTCCTGAGTGTGCGCATGAGGTCGCATGTCATGAACCTTTGACACGTCACCCCGGAAGGGCGGGGCTCGAGCGGAAAACAGATCGGGCGCGTTCGCGTGTTGGACCGTCGTGGTCCTTCCTTTTGGCCATAGGTTGGCCTCGTTGCCTTTCATGGTAGCGGAGCTCCCTGGTGAGGAGCTGGGGCGCTTTGGTGCGGCGCTGGAGCGCTTTGGTGGTGGCTGGCTATGCCAGCCGAGGACGTCCCGGCCTGGGACGGTGACCCGTCTTCTTTTGAAGCATTCGCCACATCGTGCAGGTGGTTTGAATGCTCCCTCAAGGAGACAGAGAGAAAGCTCGCGGCACCTCGGATCTGGCAAAAGCTGCAGGGCGCTGCGAAATCGGTGGTTTGCCACCTTGATCCAAAGGATTTCTCCTCTGACACTGGCCTGGAGAAACTCCTGCGGGTCCTCAGAGACTCGCCACTGCAGAAGCTTCCAATCCCTGATAGCTTCTCGAGATTGGAGAAATGGACAGGCTTGAAGCGAGCTCATGGCGAGGCGATCCCACAGCTGCTGGTGAGAGAAGAAGAGCTCTTCACAGAGCTCCAGCAGGCACTACAACGTGCACGCCATGAACGAGCTCGGCATGAGGTGAAGTCCATGGGTGTCGGAGCGAGCGAAAGAGATCCACCTATGTCCCCTACGAGGTCACCCAATGTGACGAGGGCAGGATTGAGTTCGGTCAGAGAAGATGATGACTTCCCGGCTGAGGATGAGAAGGTTGTCGAGACCTCCCAGGGCGAGAATGCTGGATTCTTTGAGCATGAGCTTAGGGGTTACAGGTTGTTGAAAGCAGCCAAGCTTACCCAAGCTGAACGTCAGCATGTCCTCACACTGACGAAGAACTCGACCCACTTCACCCAGATCAGGCAAGCTTTGAGATCTCTATTTTCTGATGGTGCTGATCAAGCTGATGATCCTGGAAGGCTGCCAAGACGCTCCGTCTGGTATGCGGCTGATGAAGGTGAAGACTGGGGCATGGAAGATGATTGGTGGAGTGAAGATCCAAGCTGGTGGAGCGAGGACATCTTCTGGAATGACTGGAGCCCGTCATGGAGTCCAACTTCATGGGATGATGGTGGCTCCTATGAGGACTACATCCAGGAGAATGACTACTACCCGGAGGAGCCAGAGGAGAAGACAACGGAGGAGCTCGAGAACGAGCAGCGAGTTGAGGAAGCCTTTGCATTGGCCACGGAGGCCAACAAGACATTGGCCGAAGCAAGACAGGCTGTTGCTCGTGTCCGTGCTGCACGGGGTTATTTTGATCCTACGGGCACGAAAGGACATCCTGGAAGTCTTGGTGGCGGCAAAGGGAAGAGAAAAGGGCCAGCATCTGGCAAGGGCAAAGGTGTTGGAGGTGGCTTCGGACCGTGCTTCATCTGCGGTCAGTCCGGTCACGGGTATCTGAAGTGCCCTGACCGCTGGTCCAAAGGTGGGAAGAAAGGTGCATCTCCATCTGCGTCGAGGAGCTCTTCATTTGAGCGACCGACAAAATTATTGGCTTATTTATTTAGTCAGGGGGTGACCCTGAACTATGTTGAAGGCTTTGTTTGATATGGAAAACGATATGGTCCCCACCAAAAACGATATAGTCAAGATATACAAGTACAAAGATGTTTAACTTCATGGAATGTTTTGCATTTATATGTCTCATTGAGATACCGCTTGTTCTTTTTGACATTGTGCTGATGGGCATTGAATCTGTGGGTTTGAAGAGGGTCATCAGGGGTTATACTTGCCGCTTTGCTGCTGCTGTTGTCGGTCGAGAGTTGTTTGGCGCCATCATTTCACCTCGACAATGGCGGTGGCAATGGAGCAGCAGCCACCCAAGCTGTGCCAAGTCAGGCACTGCGTAGCTCAGATGAATCCTCCTCAGTGGAACAGTCGATGGGGTGTGCTAGTGTCCCACTGTGCCACTTTGGTTTGCATAGAACTTCTGGCGTGTTTTCCCTTTTTGTAGACGAGCTTCATGTTTTTATCAAGGTTGTGAGGATGTTTGTGTAGCAGTGCGACTCGCACCAAGGCTAATGAAACCATCACTGCAAGCGGTCATGTTCGAGCATCTCATCATGCAGCAGTGTTGATTCTCAGCCTGAAGTGCAGGCTATCTCAAGGGGGTGCTCCATTGGATGTTTAGTTTTGTGCTTTTAGAACAGTGACATAGCCCAGTCCTCCAGGTCCACTTTCAACAAATCCTGTCTGAGGACTGGATCTTCGTGGACTTTTACCACATGCCTTAGCAAGTTTGCAAAGACACTGGCGGAAAAAAACCACAATGGATGATGGGCAGGTGCAGGGATGAACAAAAGCGGGCTGTCTGGTAGGATTTTGACATCATGTTTTGAGATAGTGATCCGACAGCGTCAACATGGCCTCGGCATGGGCTGCCCGTACTTGCAGGTGATGTCTGTGAATGGTGAAGGTGCTGAGAAAGAAGCAGTGCCCAATGGTGAGGCTGGGCTTCTGGACGGTTCTCGTGAGGTTGAGGCAGTGCTCATGGAAACTCCTGCTGCCCCAGTGCCTCGTCAACTCTGAAAGTATTTTTTTTATGTTGGGCAAGTGGGCAATCGCATCTAGGAGGGTTGCACTTTGGCTTTTCTGAGGAGCTAGACTTTGGCGAAGTGATGTGTCCTGAGGCCACCAGGCTTGTTCTCAGCATGTCTTTTGGGAAGTTTTAGGGGCTCTTTGATGTTTGAGAGCAAGGGAAGGGACGGTCTAACGGCTTTGCTTTCTCAGGAGAAGCCTAGTCATTCTCGGGGAGAGTGTTTGCCAGATCCATCGCTAGACACGTCCTTGAAAAGTGGTGGAGCAGATGACCACGCAGAGGCCACACAGACGCCGTGCAAACGCAAGATCGACCAATGCGATCCAGATACTCCAACTCTAGCCCAGCCGAAGCGACTGCGGGGCAAGCAAACTGTGAGTGTTGAGATTTCTGACCCAGTGCGTTTGAAGCTGCAAAAGGCAGTGGAATGTTTTGGCGTAGCTGAGCAAGGTAACCCCCTTGGAAAAGACTACCGTCAGCAGAAGGCATCTGTTTGCGAGATTTGTGGGGTCGCTCGTCATAGTGTCCTTTGGTGCACCCGCTTGACAGGAAGCGGCTGTCAACGAACAGTTGGTAGTCAGTGTTTCTTTTGCTACCGCGCGACGCAAAAGCTGGGGGTCACAAGGAGCAAAATGATTCTCCACGCTGTCCCAGAAGCTTTGCTGTTGGTGAAGAGCAAGTCCGTTGAGATCCGTAGTCGCATGGAAATGCAGGACCTTGCAAAATGCAGGCGTTGCGAGTGCGATGGCGGAAAGAAATGATGGAATGTTTGAGTTTGTGTGTGTGTGTGTGCACATGGGGCTGTGCATGCCATGAGCTCCGGGGTTTGTATGTAGACCAGCAGCCTGCTCTTGCCGCAGACGGGCGGTCTACAGCTTGTGGACTTGGATCACATAGCTGACGACGGAAAACATTGCTTCCTTGCCGTTTGCTTTGAAGAATGCTGCACTAGGCGAATTTAGTTACAAAAGTCCGTTTTTGTTCAGGAAAGCTAAACAAAGGAATGTGCGCGTCGGAAGTGCATCTCTAGTAAATGTATGTCCATCCTGCTGAAAGGAACTTGTCTCAAGATTTTCCCAAACATGTCAGCTTCCCGAACGATAATCCAAACGATAACCTAACGATAACCTTCTTGTAATCCCAGGCCCCGTACAAAGACACATCCTCACATTACTGTAGTTTCTGCATGGGCCGCACCAAAGAAGACAAGGCAGCTCTTCATCGCTTTTTCCTCTCTTTGCTGCAGGGCCCCGAAGGCGACTCCCTGACAAGAACAGCAGTGTCGGCCGTACCAGGCCGTGCCAACACTAGCAAAGCCAGGCATAGCGGCGAGCAGAATGCACTCACAAGGGAACAACGCGATTGGCTTCGGAGCTATGTGGACAAGAACTACTGGAGCAAGCTGCCAAAGTCTGAACGGAAACAATGGTATTCCCAGCAGCCAAGTGGTGCAGCAGTAGTAGAAATTCCTGGAAGCTCATCGTCCTCAAACTTGCCTTCAGCGCCCGTGATGCCTCCAACAACCGAGCAACCTGCCAGTTCTTTGCCGCCTCTGCGTGCTAGTGCAAAGGGTGAAAAGCGGAAGCGTGCTGAGCGCCTGCTGACAAGGCCCCCCGCCAAGAAGCATTTCCGCTCAAAGACATTCCGGCAAAGGCGGAGGCACCAGAAGGTATTGACCTGCCACCTCCGCCGGTTTCCCTCTGCAGAGCAGGCAGCCGATACAGTGGCAAGGGCAATCCGTGTGGTTGAGAATGAATGGCCCGAATTCGGCAAGCTTGTAGCGCAGAAGCTGCAGCCCGCCACGGTGTGTGGCTCATGTTCGTCTCTTGTGCGAGGTCTTGGCGCAGTTCCAGAATTCAAACCTCCAAACCCTTCAGATCGCATACGCGCAATCCGTGACCAAGTTGATGTTCTCATTCATCAAGCTTTTCCTGACCGGTCAGCAGTTGAGAACTTAGGCTACTCCATTGGTGCTGCTCGATGGCTGAAGGCCTCAGGCCCAGACGATGCCCAAGCCAAGACACGAGGGCGACCGTCTAAAGTAAACAGCAAGGCCTGCATTGAGGCAGTGCGCGCAGTGTTGCAGGCGCACAGCCAAGATTCTTCAAAAATATGCCGTAGCAACCCCGGAGGCACTGCTGAGTGGGTCATTGCCAGAACTTTGACGAAAGACCGCACCGCCTTGTTTGAAGACGAGCCGAGCCTCTACGAAAACATGTCTGCCAGGACTATGCACCGCATCATGAAGGAGCACCTTTGCCACTTTAAGAAAGCGCGTTGCCAAAGCGATTACTGTCAGTACTGCGCAGACTATGACGACAAGGTTCTTCCCAAGGCCCAGGAGATGATAGCTGACGCCCGAGACCAGTTGGAGAAGATAATGCCCAACTACTGGCAAGCCTGGGACGCATTTCTTGCTGCAGAACCATTCAAGGACCTGCCTGTGCTGGAAATCGAAGCCTTCGAGCATTACATCTCCCGTCACCATGAAAGGCATCCTTGCGCTGAGCATAGAGACAATGACTTTCCATGTGGCCTTGCTGACTTGCGCAAACGAGGTGGGTAGGTTGAGTGTTTGCTGGACTTGTTGTTTGTCTACTGCAGGTTTGTGTGTCTCTTTGCTTCCAATCTGAACAGCCCTGCCTAGGAAGTGGATTTCGACAGAACTTGCGCGTTGACCTTTTCAGTCTGGAAGCCACACTCTCCACAGAATTGCGGGCCATGCTGCGGCTCATGCTGAGCTACAACCACCACAAGGCGGCGACTGAGCACCAAGACCCTGTACTCATGTCTTTGCAAAAGAGCCCGCCATGCAATTCCACAACCCTGGTGAGTGATTGGAAGGAATTGGTCACGCTCCCAATTTCGCACAAAGCCACAGGCGAACAATTCTACGCCACTGCCAGGATGGAAGTGAGTGTATGGGGTGCCTGCATGGTAGAGCACTTCACTGCGGATGGCAAGAGCAAGACTGTGACGAGGTATTTCTTGGTGTTATCAGACATCCTTGACCACACCTGCCTCCGAACTAACCAGCTTACAAGAATGATTCTAGACCGCAGGTTGAACCAGAACCAACTGGAGCAAGTGTTCTTGGTGTCAGACCCAGGTCCCCATTACAGGGCCTACGAAGCACTCTTCCACAACCTGGTTGATTTGGTGAAGCATTTTAGGGCGGAAGTCTCCATGAATTTTGGTGTGGAGAAGCATGCCAAGGGCATTTGCGATCGATTATTTGGATGGTTCAATGCCTATGTCGAAAGAGCAAAGGAGAACAAACAAAACATTCATTCATTGGACGATTTGGAAAGAGTCCTGAAGGATGGAAATGCTGCGCAGCGTCGTCGAGATCCCAGCTCTCCACTCATTTGTGTCATCCTCAACAAAGACAGCCCAGTGCCGCAAGAAGCCGAGCGCCTGCTACCAACCGACCTTGCCATCGCAAGAACTTATTGCTTGTCTGGCAAACTGGATGCAAGGATAAAGCCAACTGCTCTCGGTGTCCGCTTGTACAACCATGTATTCAGTACTCGACCAGTGTCTGTAGAGCTCAAGGACTACTCTATTGAAGCCCTGGCATGCCCTGCAGAGTGGCGTCGCGGATTCTGGGGAAGTGGTAGATCTAACTGGGACACAGACCCAGAGCCACTGCACCTGCGCAAGAACACTGCCCTTTCTAGAAGGTATGACGAGCAGAAGTCGCTCTTACCCAGAGCGAAAGGTCGAAAACACAATGCTTTACCCTCCTTGGACGACGAGATTAAAAAGCATGAAGCTTCCCTACAGAGAAGGAGACAGAGGAACAAAATACGCCAGCAGGCTTGGTCTAAGAAAACTTCTCAGGAGCCTTCCTCCTCCAGCACTTCGTCCTCGTCTGACTCATCTGCAGAGTGAGAAAAGAATCACAGCACGCTGTCTGATTGCTCTTCCTCCATCCAACTGTCAACCAATAATGACTTCTTCTAAGACTCTAAGAGATTCTAAAGCCAACAAACCACTGTGTTTCTGCAATAAGGGAGGGTAGCTTAGAAAACAGAATGGCTTGTGCATTCAAACCCATGTCTAGACATGCTACTCAAGTATTGTTTGAACAGAATCATTGGAAAACGATATGGACCCCACCAAAAACGATAATCATACCAAATGGTCTCTGGCTACATAAGTAATTTTGTCCGCTGCACATTTGGTGGCCGTGGAAAAGGCAAGGGCAAAGGAGGCTCGAAGGGCAAGAAAGGAAAGACCTTCTTCGCTGAAGCTGAATGGGTTCCTGAAGTCTATGTCACGAGCCTCTTTGACCAGACTGATTTGGAGAGCCTCGGAACGTCTAAGGTTGTCTTGGACACTGGGGCGACGGAGTCGGTTGCTGGGATTCGCGCGATGGCTAAGGTCCTGGACTCCCACTTGTTCACCTATGAGGTCAACATCTCTGAGAGGCCTCGGTTCAAGTTCGGGAACGGCGAATCTCAAAGAGCGGTTTCCAAGGTCTGGCTTCACACTCCAGCTCTTGGATGGTTGAGCTTCTATCTCCTTGACGGCGGTGCGGAGATGACCCCATTGTTGCTTGGAGCTCGCGACATGCGGAAGCGCCGAGCGGTGATTTCCTACCATGGTGACTACATGGCGCATCGTGGTCAAAATGGAGCATGGTTTGCAAATGAGCTGATCACGGCACCAGGAGGTCACCTGACACCCTCTCTGGCGACACGCCGTCTTCCTCTACGCCTCCTACTGGAGCATTTGGATGGACCACCCTTCAACAACCCGGGCGGCTATGGCGGCGATGATGAGAATGCTGATGATGGAGATGATGGCCGACCTCGGCCTCCAAATCATCCTCCACCTGGGCGAACTCCTCCCGAAGGTGGACGTTCGGGAGAAGTTCGAGACGACGGACCTCGCGATCCTGAAGGTGAAGATCGTGAGACAAAGAGAAAGCGAGAAGACCCTACTGCCCGTTTGCTGAAGACGACGGTGAGATTGGACGCCAACCGGCGAGAGCATCCTGATTGCTTTGTGACCCTTGGCAGTAGTGGCGATGGACATGCTGAGAGGCCTGCCTTAGAGCTAGATTCCAACTATTCTCCAACTTCGCCATCAGTGGTCATTGAACCGATGGCTGAGCCCTCAACGGCTGCAAGAGCCTCAGAGGAGCGACCTTCTTCGGAGCTTCCTGCACCCAGTGAATACATGTCGCCTTCTGCAGCTGACTGTCGTTCGTCACGTGTTGATGACATGGAGACTCACCCTCATCCTGAAGAAACACATCCACATGAGTCAAGTGCAGTCACGCAGATGTCAACTGTTTTGCAGTCAGATGAGTCACAGCATGTAGAAGTTCATGAAGACTGTCAGTCAGCAATTCCGTCGAACGGTATGATCATGATGGTGACGAAGGACTGTCTGAGTTTGACGACCGCCTCAGCATCTTGGCTCAGCGGTTGCGAGAGCATCGAGAAGCCTATCCACCCCACCTGGAGGATGAAGGCATGCCCCCCAGCCACGGATCACGATCCTCGACACCTTGGATGGCCATGCCATGGCGAGCACCTCCCTGGCAAGGAGCGGGCGAATGGATCGGCAATGTGGCAAGCATGCTCTCGATGCGGTCTACGTCTTCGCTACGTGACCAAGGGCAAGGCGACTGGCCAGACCAGGGCAATTGGCCCGCCACCAGATCAGGTGGAGCAAGCCCAAGAGGAACTGCGGCCCGACTTCAAGCCATCAGAGATGACAGAGAAGATCTTCAATGGGAAGCTGATGGAGATCAGGGGTCGCATCCTGGTGCACAGCGGCGGACAGGGTCGGACCAATGTCCAAGTCCGAGCGGACGAGAAGTTGGGAGAAGCCTTGATGGCATCGACGGCTTGCGGAGAGACCCGGAAGACAAGTCCTACTCGAAAGAACAAGGAGGACAGCGAGCCAGTGACTCCCAAGAAGAACCGATCCCCGAGCAAGGAGAAGGTGAAGCCGCAGGACAACTCCGTGAAGAAGGAGATCCAGGACAAGGGCTATGCTGGGCGGCCAACATCGTCGACGGCGACGCGGGGACCAATTGCCATGAGCGTGAACTCCGAGGACACGGTGGAGGAAATTCCGGACTCCGAGACAGAGTCGAAGAAGGCGGAGTGAGTGGCATCTGGTCGAGCTTGCGGCGACTGAGGAGCAAGATGACGGAATCTGCCTGCACTAAGGCATCATGTCTATGTCAGCTGGAGGCCGGCAAGGACATCAATCCTGCAACTTCCAATTTGAGCCCAACACGCAACTCCAACTATGAGGATGGCAACCATCCATCTACACGCACGACGAGCACTACGAAGTGTGGCATGAGCTCTACACGCCCTACCGCACGAATTTCTTCGATGCCGAGTTCCACGATTGAGGAGCTCTACGCGGTGACGAATGTGACCGAGAAGCAAGTGCGACCTTCACTTGCCCGACGGCTAGCAATGGCCGCAGCTTTGACATGCACCTTGATGGGACCTGTTCGAGAGATGATTGGTGCAGTGAGTCCTCAGGTGGACATCATGGAGATAGCCTGCTCGCCCAACTCCACGTTGACGGCGACATTTCAGGACCATGGCTACACAGGTCTTCGGGTGAACTATCTGACTGGCTTCAACTTGGATGCCAAGCATGGAACAGCAAAGCTGGCGACGACCATTGCAGAGACCAAGCCACGACTGACCTGGGTATCGATGTCATGTACCCGACTTTCGGCTCTCCCGTCTCTCACTCCTCGAACTCCAGAAGAGATGGACCGCTTCCTACATCGACGAGGACAAGATCTTCGCAGGAATGATGAGGTGGTTCAAAGCCTGGAGCCAGTGCTTGAGAGCGGAGGTGACATTGCTTGGGAGTGGCCGACAACTGCCACAACTGGTTGGAAGTCCAAAGCCATTGCTCGACTTCATCGTTTGGCGGCAAAGCATAACCGGCGACTTCACTGGATCCGGATTGATGGATGTGCTTATGGACTTCAATGGCAAGGACTCCCTCTCAAGAAGTCATGGACGATTCTGACTACAAGCCGAGAACTTTGGCTTTCCTTGAACAAAAGATGTGACAGAAGCCATGAACATGCCGTTTGCCGTGGCTCTGCGGCACAATCATCGGCATACTATCCTCCAAAGATGTGCCAGGACATTTGCAAGACCATGTCTCATCACTGGAAGCGACAGGAGAACTCATTGGAGAGATCGGTGGAGACCTACTTGCTTGAGAATGACAACACCACCGAGGACATGGTCTCTTCATCTGATCTTCGAGATCCAGTGCCTGGAGAAGGACATGAGGAGCATGTGTTTGCACTCTCGAGGAACAAGCTGAACCTGGAGACTGCCCCGACAGGGAAGAAGCTAGAGGCTGTCAAGCAGTTGATGCTGAGAGTACACAGAGCCAGTGGTCACGCTGGTATGTCCAACTTGGTGCAGTTGCTCAAGGCACGTGGTTCTCCTGGCTGGGCGATTGAACTGGCCTCGAACTTGGAGTGTCCAGAATGTCGAGAAGCTGCTCAAGTACGACCTCGACCACCGGCAAGTACAGGCGAGATGCCTCCTGTGTTTTCGCACCTCGGCACTGATGTTTTTGAACATGAGGATGCTAGCGGCACTAAGAATAAGCTCATCATCTGGCGAGATCACCTTCAGGAGTACAAGGGCAACTGGGAGCCGAAGACAGAAGATGTGGTTCGATCTTTTTGCAAGTGGGTGATGACCTACCCGGCTCCGACTTGGATCTTGGCAGATTCAGCTCGGTACTATACATCAAGTGCCTTCACAGAGCATCTTGGACGTTCTGGTGTGGGACTAAGCATTGCCCCTGCAGAAGCGCATTGGATCATGGGTCCAGAGGAGCGAGCAATTGGCATTGCAAAGCGCACAGTGGAACGCTTGGCAAAAGAGGGAAGCAAACTGTCCATCCCCGACCTCTACACTATGGCGGCTGGAGCGATGAATGCACATGTTGGATCAAGTGGCTACAGTGCATTCCAGTGGGCCTTCGGACATGGCGGCGGTGTGCTGGACGATGAGCAGTTGCTTCGAGGAGTGGACCCGGGCAAAGCTTTTGGCCGATTGGTGAAGGAGCGGCAGCGTGCTAAGTTGGCCTTTGAAAAGGAACGAGCTGCTGATCGTTTTGGAAAGTTGGCAAACACCAAAGGCCGGAAAGTCACCCAGTACAAGAGTGGACAACTTGTGATGCTCTGGCGGCAGAAAGTGAAGCCTGGAAAGGTGAAGGGCCATTGGAGTGGTCCGGTGAGAGTGATCCTGCTTGAAGGTTCTACTGCTCGGCTGAGCTCAGGTTCGACATTGGTGAGAGCCAAACTCAATCAGATCCGTCCTGTCTCTCGACGCGAAGAACTTGGGGCTGTGATGGAAGGAGCGGCGGTGTACCGCCAACCTGTGTCTGTGGACACGCTTCTTCGCTCTTTTCAAGGACGCTACTACCTTGATGTTTCAGGTGATGTCCCTTCAGAGGAGAAGCAGATGCATGACCTGACTCCGACGGATGTCTTGCAGGAGCCGGCTGCTGAGCGAATGAGGTCAGACACATGGTCTCTTCGACATGAAGGAGGTGAGCGGGTGTTGATTCGACATCATCATCTTCCGCGGCTCGGACTCTTTAATCCGGCAAGGTCAATGCATTGCCCAGTGAACTTGGATGAACTCTCTGGCAAGAGGACTACCTATGTTCGCCCTCTACACCGTGGTGATGCTGGTGAACCCATTGTGATCAGGGACACTGTGGACATTGTCAAGAACTTGCCTGACAGGTGGACTGGCGAAACCCACTTTGAGCTGCTTCCTGATCCTCAGCCAGCTAAGAAGGTGAAGACGCCTGCCCGGCGTGGAGAGAAGAGGAAAGCGGACAAGGAGATTGACAAGGAGAAGGTT